AGACTGGAGATGAGAGATACGAAGTCCCCAAGATGAGCTCCAGCAGAGCCCCAGGCATGGTGACTGTGCAGGGCAGCCCTGGAGGCACTGCACACCAGGGTGGCACGGGGGACTCTGACCAAGTACCTGGTGGTGGACGGGCAAGAAATTGGGATGCCTAACATACACCTGTTAACCTGCATTGCTTCCCTGTGTAAGGTGAGCTGCAAGTGGTGTTCTGGCTGCTGCGTTGCTCAGGAACAATATCTGGTCCACCAGCAGTTCAGCAGTAGTGTGCTGAAATGCAAGAGCTGATGTCTCCTCAGAGCTGCTACTTTGCAGAGAGCAGCTGACTGATGGGAACTTACCCCACAAAAAGCTGCCCAAGCAGATACACTCAGCTTCTTTCAGTTTCAAACCGTGAAGTTTGAGCTGTTTGAAGTATGATGATTCTGTCCCCCTTACTTTAAACACTGAGCAGGTATTTCAGCTGGTGACAATAGCAGGGGTTTGCTTGCCCAGGAAAGCACTCGCTGGGCTCAGAGCCGCGCTGTGCCTTGGCACCTCTGCATGAGTCCAAACTGCCTCATCTCTAAAACACACCTCATTGCAGTGACCATGGACAGGACAAAAACCCCACAGCACACACGCACATGCTCCCCACCACCACTAGCACCTTCGCAGGAGGAGTTCCCTCATTCCCTCTACACAGGAGTTAGTCTCTGTCGTCAAACTCCTCTGCAGTTTTTCAGTTGCTCAGTTCACTGTGCCTGGGCTCCTCGCCAGCCAGGCACTGCATCTCACTTGCTGTCCACTGGGCTTCCCCCTGCTTCCAGCACCCCAACCCGCCCGCCCCCCCTGAGCTCAGGGGAACACTCTGGGCTCCTCAGAGCACCTGTTCTGCTGGAGTTCAGAATAATCAGAATAATCAGAATGAAATCAAATAGCTTCAAGATTTCCCCGGAGGATATTTTAAAGCTGGTTTCAAATATGATTTCAAATTACCATGTGATAATTTCAGCACTGTTACAGTTGTTTCTGTTTTTAGGTCTCTCAAAACAGAGAGCAAAATAGTGATGACATCAGCATTTGACGTGTCGACTTGTTTCACTACCAAATGGATGCTACATGGTCCAGAAAAGGAAATAAAAGTCTCATACAGTAATGTGTAGCTTGTATATGTGATAAAGTAAAGCTTATTGGATATTGTGGCAGAGGTGAACTAGACAGCCTCTGAAGGTCCATAGGAAGCCTTTGATGATCACGTTACTCAGATGTCAGTAGTGGTAGGAAAATATTGACATAAATGAAAAATTCTCTGCATAAAGTTAGCAATGAAACATCAACATTCTCTGAAATGCTTTTTCTTAAAGGAAAAATTCCTGTCTATTTTTTGGTTTAAAATTTGATGAAATCAATGCAATTTCTGATAAAAAGCCATTAGGAGGAAAAATATATCAAATTCAGTTAATGCTACCCAGCTTTTCCTCACTGTTTCATCCTCCTCCCTCCATTACCCAATAGTGGATTGCTTTGTCTTTGTGGGTAGCTCCTGTAAGCACTCTTCAAACTGCAGACTTTCCACATCATTTTAGCACTTTCCTACTGTGTGTCACAGGTGAGCAGCTCTCCTACACTTCATGGGCACTTTTAATTCCTGCAAGGTGTTTGGGGACCAGGCAAGTAAAGGCACCGTGATGCCAGGTTACACCTCCCAAAAAACCTGTCAGCAAAGCTGGTTTACATCCTCCCATCCCACTTCGTGTTTGCTGAGATGAGTGTCTTGCTTTGGACCCCAGGACCCTATTTGGCCTTCTGAGATTTATGCCATCTGCAAGCTCATTGGGGAAGGGGGTGGGGAACACCAGGCCTGACTCCAGCCCCACAGCAGCCCAGCACCACTGCCCCTGATGTATTCCTTCTGTTGGCAACCAGCTTGTAATATGAGCCCAATGGGAATTAATTTTGGAGTAAGCTTTTGTATTGAACACTTCCTTAAGATGCAGCTATATTACATCTGCTGCACTCCCTTCCTCCATTAATTTGTTAATTCTACCAAAACCAAGCATATGTTTTGCTGATGCACAGCTCTCACAATGGAGTGGAATGGAGGAATAAGGGGCTTCATTTACTCACTCAAACAAGTTATATGAAGCCTGATCTTGTTCTCACTGAAGTCAGAAACACAATACCCATTGACTTCGATGTAAGCTGACTGGGACACTGGGGTCTGATCCAGCACCTGAGCCAAATCATGCCAATCACTTGAGTACTTGTGGAAGGCAGGGGCCTGCGAGGGTGTTATCATCCCCAGTCTCTGACATCAGAGACTGCTGGAAAGAAAAATGACTGTTGTGCCACAAATAACATGATTGAGTCACTTTGCTACAGGAGCAGCTCAAAGGAGGGGGAAGTGGCTGGTGAGAAGGTAGCAGGAGAAGAGCTGTGGTACCTTGCTTGGAGAAAAACAAACAGGCAAACAAAGGAAAGCAAACAGAAATTGCCTTCTTCCATCAGGGCAACTCCATTTTATGAATACTTCTAAAAAACAAAGGAAAAGGAAAAAAATGGGCTTCAAAATACAGGTAGGACATGCATTTTTCTTCCTGTTTGTAGGACAAGCATGGGTGTGTTTTAAAAAGATAATGGGAACACAGGTTAATATTCAATGCCTATTCTCTAACTTGCTTACACCTGCTGTGCAAGTGGCTGTGTATCTTTGAATAGGATCACATTTATTTGCACCTGCAAAACTGGACCTAGTACTTCTGTTGTCAGCAAAACTGCAGGTGTAGGAGCCAGTACAGAAAGCAGCCCTAAAGAAATCATTGCCTATTCCACTATGAATAAAGCTAGAGGTATTTTAAGCATTCAGGGCATCTGGTTTACCCCCCCAAATCCCAGTGTTTTCAGGACAGTAAAAGCCAGCCACCCAGACCTGAGGTACAGTTCAGGAACAGAAGCTACAGTTTATCAGTGCTTCATTTTTGCAATTGCCATTTTCTCCAGGGGCAAGAGAGCAGCTTCTAGGACAATCAGGCAAAACTTAACCCAACACAGGCACCTCTTACTATGGCCCTGGAAATCACAGGGGCAAACAGCTGTGCTTTTCTTTCTTCTGGCCTGGATGCAATTTTCTTCATCTCACTCATCCACACAGGTCATGCAAGGGAGCTGAGCTCCCCTTCCCACACTGCTGGGCCCCATGGCAGGGGAAGGGACAGTGCAAGAGGTGCTCGCACAGTGTCCCAGCCCGAGCCAGCTGGAGTGCAAACCCTCCAAGGACTGTCACTGACTGTCACTTGTGCTGCTCACAGGGTTCATACTGCTCACTATTTAAGCTGACTAAAAGATGGTGGATAAAAATATACTAGCATTTCTTCTTCTTTTGCTGTGCAGGTGTGTGCAAAGATTTCCCACCAGCCTGGGGGAGGCAGCTCTATGCTCAGGTGAGCTGGCTCAGCAGTAAAGAGCAGCCTGAGCTTCACAGCATTCTTTGCCCTTTCCTTCCCAACAGGCTGAATTTATGCTCCTACCTACCCCAAGTCAAAGTACCTTCTTGCCTGGCCTTCACTCTTGTTTTAACACAGTGAGAAAGTTTGGGGTGTGTGGGAAGACAGCAGTCTCAGCCAAACAACATCACCTGCCCAAGACAGAGAGAAGGATGCACCTGTCCTGGGAAGGGAGAGGCAGAACTGGGACAGAGTCACAAAGCTGGGCTTGTTGCACCTTTTTCTGTCTCTGGGCCTGGAGCAAGAGGCATGCACTAAATGAAAGGAAAAAATAGTACTCGCATCCCTCCACGTACCTCAGCCTGTCCGTCGGCACTAGCAGCGACTGTTGCTCTTTTGGCTTCCCAGGCCCCTGCTACCGGGGGAACACAGCGCACGGCCACCTTGCTGCCCTGGCAGGATGGTGCCCTGGGCAGCCTTTTACCTTGCTATGCCTACACCAGTCCTGCTCTCCCCAAAACAGCCCTGCTACTTAAAGAGGTGGAAAACAATCATAGCAAGACAGACTTTGCCACAAAACACGAAGCAGCAGAGGAGCTGATACTGTAAATGGGAAGGGTGGGTGTACCTTCTTTGGAGGGGAAAGGTCTTTCCTGCCCCTTTGCTGCACTGGGACGTAAGCCCAGAGCTGCTATTGCAATCGTTTGTAAATGTGGAGGCAGGTCTAAAGCACCAGCTGTGAATTTTGGTAGTCAAAAATGAAAAAAAAAAAAAAAATCAACCTAGGAAAAAAACTCAAAGCAGACAAACACAGGGTTGTTTAGATTGCCTAGATTTCAATTACAGCATCCAAAACCTTCACTCATCCCTATAGCTGCAAACTGCCCTTTTTTAGCCCTCTGTCCCCTCCACTTAACTTTCTTACCCTGGCATCTCCACACATCCAGATAAAACAGCCAACCTTTGCTGCCTCCACCACACACAAGCACAGCATTTTCAAAGTCTGTGAACTTGACTACATTTATTTATTCCAGACACCACAAGAAGCTTCTTCACTGAGGGCTATTCCCTTACTAGATATAAACGTTCAAGCCGCACTCTTCAGAATTGCTCTGATAAAGAGATTTTTTTCTTTAACTGTACATAAGCATGTCTCCTACCTCATACTCAAAAATTACTAAAGTGATTTCACTCCAACAGTACAGAAATTTAGCCTTAGATAGGAGAGTAATGAAGTCTCATCTCTATAGTCCAAACTTGCAGAAAATTATAAGGAACTGAAAATGAGTGTTTTGAATGGAAGTGTTACACAACATGAATGACAGTGACCTGAAATGCTCAGAGCAGACTACTTCCATCTCCAACATTTGTCTATAGCAGCACAGGAAACTTTGGAGACCTGAAGGAAACCACCACTTCCAGCTTGGAGAAAGAACGGACACTTAAAACTGTGCAACACTTGAGTGTCTTTTGGGTCCTTGCTTTACCAGAATATCTTTGGAAATGGGAGGAAGTTTAGATGAGAGATCATTCTCGACCACAATCAGCCAAGGTTCCCTTTAGACTTACCTCAGGCCGTACAGGACAGTCCCATCAGGATGGAGCCGAATCATGCGATTTTTCACCGTCACTCCATGCAGAAAGGACTTCTTGTCATTGAGGAAATAGGTGTCAGGCAGCCACAACTGGTCAGCCACCCGATTGTCCAGGGTCAGGTTGAGAGGAAGGTCATTATATGCCAGGCGTTTGTCCCGCCAGCTCTGCTGGAAGTACATGGTGATGGTGTAATCCTGGGAGGGAAACATGCAAACATCAGCCTGGCTCCAGGGTAGGGGTGTAACTCAGTCCCTTCACTACTGCCACTGCCAAAACCTTTGGTGGTTCTCCAAATTCCTTGGCACCCTAAAGTTTGTATCTACATCTGCACCAGCTGGGGGAACTGTGCTTTGTTCTGGGAAAATGGAAACAATACTGAGATTTGTAGGGGACAAAATGACATTACATAACTCCAATCAAACAAAACTTTGTTTTGGCTACAAATCTAGTAGAAGTTAGGACTATGACAGCACTAAAGGTTGTCAATCAACAGTGGGCTACACCATGCAAAGACTTCAAGGATTGATCTCCCAGTTAAGTCACATCAAGGTGTCTGGATGAAATGCAGTCGCGCTCAGCCCCTGCTTGTTACCACACAGTTGATAAAAGCCAATTTTATACTGTGCTGAAACTCAGGAGATTCCCAAGGGCACATGGAGAATCTTGCCTGGAGGCTAAGGTTTCAAAGTCAACTGAGGCCAGCCATGACAAACTATTAGTGCTTGCCTTGTTATGTGAGCTAAGTTGGGAGTTCATTGCAATTCTCAGGAAGGGACATATGTGGAGGAAATCTGTCACCAGTGGAGCATGATCCGCTGGTGAGGGGGCAGGACTGTGACCGTCCCCAGCTAGTACAATGCCATACGTATCTCCTGCTCCTCTCCTGTTCAACAGTAAAAAGTTGACACTTAAAGTTGCTAAGACAAAAATTTTATAGAGGGCAAGGGAGAGCTGTCTGGTGGCCCACAACCATAGCTCTGCAGAAATCATACTAGCTGCTGGACAGTAATAGCACATCCAGGAGAGATCCAGAGGCCCCAGATCAGCTGGTTCAGAGACGCAGTATTCTGACATCAGACTAGAAGAGCAATTATTTCTTCTCAAGTAAGCAAATAGTACAGGAAGGGGTCTTGCACACACCGATGACAGAAAACATTCTCACAACAGGTCTTAAGTAGACTAGAAGACAAGATTTTAGAGGGTAAACCAGCTAGCATTAAAATAAGAGGATGTTGATTAGGAAGCAGCTGTAGGTCTTGCTAGTAGTGGCCTTACAGAAGTCAGTGATTTTTCAGAAGTCCTTAAATAAAAAACATTTTCACAAATGCATGATCCAGAAGAGGTGGGGCCACAGACACATTGTCTCTTCCCAAGTAGATACCCACCGTGCCACAGCAATACTCTTGACCACATAGATTTGCACGACAGTAATTTCTGTTTTGCAAAATCCAAAATCCCCCTGCAAGGGGCTGGTGAGGACCTTATTCATGCACTAACGTCTGGGCTGGGCACAGAGGCATCCTGCCTGCTTGTCTTCTCCCACTGACTTCACTCAAAGCCAGGTTTGATTAACACCTCTGAAAACAAGCTCAAATAATCCCACACTATGGGTATGCCAGCTTTTGGGTATCTAACTATGATTCAGAAATCTAGACCCACATATGTATCTGAAAGGTCACAGAGTAAATCTGTGGTGCAGACTGGATACAAAAGCTGTATCTGTCACTTTTTGTGTTATATTGATAAGAACAAAACCACAGTGACAGCTTTCTGGCCAAGAAACTGTTTTGCTTTGCTTTTTAAAGGACTGCTAAACTCCTGCCTCAGAAGCCTCACAGTCCATCTATCGGGGACACAAACATTTTCATTTTGGTCAAGACCCTGCAAAGGAAATGTTCTACTTGGTACCCCTCCCAGGGGGTTGGGACCTGCATTGCAGTGAGAGCAGAGGAGCAGAGCACCTGAGTTACTGGAGCCTCTTATCCTCCTTGGCAACAGAATCTCTTCCTGTCTGTGGGAAACTCAGCTACAGAGGCATCATTTCCATCGTTTCTCCCTTGAGAACTCCACCCGCACAACTTGGCAAGCAGCTTCACTGACCTGCATTTTCCTGATCCTTGACAGAGCCCTGCAACACCTCACCCCTAACCAGGCCACCCTGCTGTCACTGCAGGCTCCTGCCAGCCATCAAGCAGCAGCAGAAAAGAAGTGGCACTGATCTCCAGAAGACAAAACGGGCAAGGTGCTTACAAAGAGAACAGGCATCAGCACCAAGAGATACACCTTCTAAACAGCATTTCCAGGACTGATGGGAACAAGCTCAGAAGGGTGCAGAAATAAAAGCCTCTACACTGGCCATCAATCTGTTGATGTTCTTCACCTACCTTTCTTGGGAAGAATAGTCAGCCCAGCCCTGGGCTGAACTCTGTTCTCCATCTTCCTGGGCTTCCGAGCACAATAGATTTCTCTGGGCAGTGTCATGGAAATCTGAAGCACTTGATAATCATGGTTCATCTAATGCCTGAGGTTTCCTTCAGTCCCTCTCTCTGTTGATTCCTGTACTCCACTCCTCCTGTTTTGCCTACCCCATCAACAATGGTTAAAGAGTGGGCAGGATTTCTGGGCAGAAGGAAAAGAGCAAGACAAGTGTGCACCCCACAGAGCTTAGTCCTCCCTGGGAGGACAGGTGCTGCTGATGTGCTGTGCCCACGCACAGCACCAAACCATGGGGAAGAGGGATGCTTTGTGTCCAGGCACCTGGGAGAGGACAGGGGACAGACCAGGGGGATGGAGGAAGCATTGATATGGCCCACTACAGCAGGTGAGAGGGAGCAGTACTCAGGAGAGAAAGCAGTGAGCTTTCCTTTCCCTTCATACCCCATAGCATGGTCAGGCAGTTATGAATTACCCACATGACAACCTAGCATCAGCACCTGGCCAGGCTCCAGAGCTGATGAAATCTTCATCATAGCCTTCCTCTCAGAGGCATACAAAATAATGACCAAGGATGACATTGTTCTGCAGAAGCAGAATGGCCAGATGGAGTCTATGCATGCTGAGGTTCATAAGTTCAGGAATCAGAAGTAATGAGCCTGATTTCCCTTCAAGTCTTGAACAACAACCCCTTCTTGTAGGGTTTTATCTGTCATTGGGCTAATACAAGGCTTTCCCAAATCTCCCCGTAACCAGTGATCTTCACAAGCCTACTGATGCCACAAATACACCACAAGCTGGGTTTTGCACCATTACCAGCAGACAGAAAGTTGGCTCACAAACCAGACACACCCGGAGCCCAAGCACTCCTCCAGCTCTCACAGCTCACCACTGAAGCACTTTAGCAGGAGAACACAGCTGAACTTCCCTGCCACCTGTGGAAGGGATAAGCAAAGGGCTTTCTCTGGGCATGTACACTTTGTACACAGCTTTCGCCGCTGCTGCTGCTGGAGGAGCAAGCAGGTGGTGCAGGCAAGTATACCTTTCCACTTGCCCCTAAACTAGCAGCCTCGGCCCTCTCTACAATGCCCCAGTGCAACTCCAGTAGCAAGAAAAATGCTTCAAAATTCCTGTTATGGATTCCACTGTGTCCTGGAGGACCATAAAAGGCTCAGACAGGGCCAGTGTCTGGCCAGGGTCTGTCACTGCTGTGACAGGGATGGGAGAGCTTTGCAAAGAGCTCCCAGCTTGCCCTACCAGGTAACCTCCTTCACTGAGGAGAAGAGGCAGGACCCTGCTGGAGGAAACATGCGTGTGCCAAGCTACCCTGTGCAACCTCATGCTCCATCTGGTGGCTACTGGAGGAGGAGAGGCAAACACAGAGGAACTGAGATATCGCTCTTTATCAGAAGCTCTGTGCAGGTTGCACTGCAAAGAACTCTGGAAATTGTTCAGTATAAACCTAGATTTCTGTTTTTAAAAAAACAAAGGCTGGGACAAGGGAAAGGGGCCTTCTGAAGGATGGGCACTACCAGAAGTGATGTGCCTCCACCTGGTCCTCTCTTTTCTACCCCCAGGAAAAGCAAGCTTTCCAAAGATACCTGCAAACTGCCTCTAGCAAGGCTTTGCTACTGTAGCTTAACTGCTCGTGCCAGCCTGCACCTGCCCTGACCAGCGTGCCACTGTGGGAATTGAAACGCTGTAGTCAACAGCACTGGCAAGGGGAAAGTCTGTTTCAGACTCAGAGGAGCTCTGCTGAGTCTCGCTGACCTACAAATCACGTGCCCCTCATGCCAAAAGAGCTTGTGTGTTCCAAACAAGCAACCCTTCCCTCCTCCTCCTCCTCTGCCCAGTGGTGGGCAGATCCCTTGGTTCCCCAGCAGTCCTGTACCCAGTAGCTCACGGGCTGCACAGCCCCAGCACTGTCCAGCCCCTGCCCCTCCGCGGTGCCCTCCCTGCCCCGCCGGGCACACCTGCGGCTCAGCTGCGTGCAGGACCGAGCTCTGCCAGGCAGCGCCCTCCAGCCCCTCACGCAGCCGAGGTGGCACCATGACCATCCCCGTGGGAACCCCCCTCCACACGCCTCCATTCAGTCTACTCTGCTGAGCAGCTCCTTGTGAGCTGTCAGTCCCAGCGCCCCTTGCCCGCCCTGCTCCCAGGCTTTGCTTTCTTACTCTGTCCTCCTTTTTGCTGCACGATGAACCCCAAACAGAGGTGCGAGCAACACATGGAACTGGCAGACACTCGTGTTGCAGAGGTGCTGAGCTGTGAGGAGGCAAGACAGCTCACTTAGAGGCCCACAAAAGCCCTGGAGAAGAAAGAGGAACTTTCTTGGCGTCCTCACACACTGAAATGACAGTAATTACAGCCTTTCCTGAAACTCAGCAGAGACCCCAGAGCAAAGATGATGTAAGATGACTGAACAATGAAAGGATAAAATATTAACATGAGAGGGACATCAATGGAGAAAAGTATTTCCTGCAGAAACCCAGTAGCAACAAATTCAGTTAAGCATGCACAGGGATCTCCCCGGCTTCTCAGAGGACAGGGCAGATAAATCTAAGGGAATAGCAGCTGAGGCACAACAAAGAGTGAAATAAGCTGGCACCATTAGTATGAATTCAAGAATGAATTTCCACTGGCTCATATTCCAGACACCTTTATTAGCAGCTACAATACAAGCCCCTCCAACTCCATCTCACAGAGTCCCTTTGGGAGTGCAGTGCTCACCTACCCTTAGAAAGCAAACCTGGACTCACCC